CAAAAACGACCGCGCACACACACACATTAACGCGGTGCGGCAGCGCGCGACACGGCTCAAGCAGACGCACGGTCGATGAGGTCGAGGAACGCGGCCGACCCGGACGGCAGGAGCGCCGCCGCATTCGCTGTCCCGTTGCTGCTGATCCCCTGCCCCGATCCGCCACTGGACGCATTACCCGACGGCGATGACATGGGCAGTGGCGAGGCCGGCGCGTGCGTCGCGCTCAGGTGCGGGCTCGGGGCGCCGCCAGCGCTGCTACTCCCGACGGTACGCTGCGTGGCGACGTGCGGCGGCCCGCCGCGGTGGTGGTGGTGGTGGCTCATGGCGTTGATGCGTTGCAAGGAGTCGGGGGCGAGCTACCGGAGATGCATGGGCGTGGGCGCAGGGAACAGAGGAGGGAGGGAGGGAGCGGCAGGAGGCGGCGCCGCCGCGACGATCCCGAATGAGTTCACCTCGCGTGAGGGCACGTGGCGCTTGAAAAGTGCCTCCGCCGCGAGACGCGTCGGCGAGGCGCGTAGGTCGTCGCGGCGGTGAAGCTTGGAGGTGGGGCAGTCGTGGGGGAGGTCGGTCGGGTCGCCTCGGGATCGCCGCGGCCAGCGTGGCGGCGGCCGCCGGCACATGACAACGGGCCGAACGCCGTGGAAGCCCTCTCGCTGAGCGGCCTACTTGAGCGCGACACACCCTCCGCGCCGCTCTCTCTCCCCGCAACGCTACGCAACGCATCAACACCATGGATCCTATCAGCAACCAACCCCCGACCACGACCGGCGACGAGGACGTGGGCAAGCTCGCGGACCGCCTGCACGCGCTGTCCGCCCGCCTGCGCGCGCACGCGGCGTCGCGCCCCGCGTACGAGCCGCCGTCGTGCGAGTCGTGCATCGCGGCGTGCCGCAACTTTGTGCGCCTGACGTACGGGCTGCCCGAGTTCCGCGGCAACACCCCCAACGCGTCGTCCAGCCACGCGCAGTACGCGCGGTCGTCAACCCCCGAAACCGACGACCCGCTGTGGGCGGCGTGGAACGGCGACCTGCAGGGCGCGACGCGCGGCATGTGGGAGCTCGTCACGATGCGCGTCACGGGCTCGGCCGCCGTCTACGACTACAAGATGTGTCTCGCCGACTGCATCGACGACCAGGCGCTGCAGTACTCGGCCGCCGTCACCGACTGCGTCGCGCGCGCCAAGTCGGAGGCCGAGCTCGCGAAGTGCACCGAGCGGCTCACCCGCGACGCGGCCGAGTTCCGCAAGCTCGAGCGCGAGGCGCGCCGGCTTGAGGCCAAGCTCAACCGCATCCACCCAGAGTAGTAAACACGTTCTTGCCAATATATCTTGTCCGTTATACGAAACTCGCCGGCACCGCGCTCGCCGCCGCGACATACGCGTCGATCCGGTCCGCGTCGGGCGCCCTGCCCGCGCCGCAGTACCAGAACACGGTCCACGGCTCCTTCCCTGCCCCGCCACCCTCGACCGGCGGCGGGAGCTTGATCATCCCGTCGCTCCGCGCGAAATACCACGGGTTCACCTTGTTGCTCGCGCGCGACCGCCACACGAGGTGGTCCGCCGCCACCTCGCCGCGCAGCGTCAGCCACAGGATGTCGGCGACCCCGCCGCTCTGCACCGCGGGCGACACCGCGAACTTGTCGAGGTACTGGATCCCCTCGCCTTCGGTCGTGACGATCGCCGCGCCGACGTAGTCGCCCGCGATGATCACGGCCGAGAGTTGGTGTTCGAGCCGCGCGAAGAAGGCCGCGCGGTCGAGCCGACGCCCGAACGACGACTCGAGCAGACGCGCTAGTTTGGCGGAGTCCACGTCCCGCATCGACTGCGCCACGCGCAGCGGGACGCCGAGGCGGAGCACCGTTGGTGGCACAGGGCCCGCGTCCGCGACCGCCGCTGCCGCCGACCCGCGCGTGGGCAGCGAGACGGCGACCAGCGGCTTGTCGGTGAGGTAATGCGACACGACCGCGCGGGAGCTCTCGGCCGCGGCAATCACGGCCGTCGCCGACGGCGGGAGGACCGCGAGCACCCGGTGCGCCTGTGCGAGATCATCCCGCGCCCCATCAGCCCCCTCGAGCGCCGCATCGAGCACCTCGCGGTCCTGCGCGAGGTTGACAAACGGCGTCGGGCCGGGCAACCCGCCGCGCCGGTTGACGACGATCAGCTTGCTCGGGAGACACCGCCGCACAAACGCGCGGTCCGGGTCGTGCGCGGCGCGCGCGAGCGCGCGCGGGTCCGTCGCCGAAAGCCGCGCGTGCTGCGGGGTCGCGGCGAGGCGTGCGGCGAGCGCGGGGACGGCGCGGGAGAGCGGGAGCGCAGAGTACCGCGACCCGTGCCACGTTTGCGCCAGGGGGGCGAGGACCGGGACGGTCCCGCGCGTCAGGCACGCTTGTAGCGGAGCGAGGTCGATGTGGAGCGGCAGGTCGGCGGGGTCGGGCGAGAGGTCGGTGGCGGGATCTTCGCCGTCCAGCAGGTGGTACACGCCGCTCGCCACGGGCCGCGCGGGCGTCCCCGCGGCGTGCAGGTACCGCGCAACGTGCCCGCACGCGTCGAGCTGTGCGGTGCGGAACGCGCGCGGGTCGCGCGCCGCGAGGTCCGGGACGCGCGTCGACCGGCCTTCCTCCGTGTCAACCGACGCAGCAGGCACCGGCGGATCCACGTCCACGACCAGGACCGGGTTGACCGCGAGCCGCTGCAGCGCGACGAGGTCCGCCGCGACCTGCGCCGCGTGGTGCGCCGGCAGCGGCCACTGCAGCTGCACCAGCGCAATGTGGATCGGCGGCGCGTGCGACGGCGTGAGCGAGGGCCCGCCGGCCTGTGCCTGGATCGCCGCGGCGGCGGTGGTGGGTGCCGCGAGCGTTCCCGGATCGTCGGCCGTCGGCGGAGGCCGCTTCAGGTCGTACCGGCGCAGGTAGCTCGCGGCCTCGCGCGGCGACGGGCCCGCTTCGAGGATCCGCTGTACCACGGCTTGCGACGTCGGGCGTGTCGAGAAGAGCGGGGGTTTCACGTCAAGCAGCAGCGCGGCGGTCGTGTGCACGGCGCGCGCGAGGGGCCGCGGCCCTGGCGGCCAGCGGAGCCGGCGCGCGGGGAGGGAGAGGAGGAGCGAGGGGACAGCCGCCATGCACCGTGTGTGAGGTTTGGAAGAGGGAAGGAGACGATAGCGCGTACGCTTAGGGCGGCCAGTACGAGAGGGAGTGGGACGGCGTGAAGGGGGTGGTGTGGGCGACGACGATGGCGGGCACAGACCAAGGGATCGGAGAAACCACGATGAGGAAGATGGTGAAGAGCTGGTTGGTGAAAGTCGTGCTTGAGGCCAGTTTCGGTAACGCGGGGATCGGATCGAGAGTTGACGACGGTGCTGGCGCCGGGATCGCGCTTAGGGACGATCGCTTGGGGGTGCGGACTGCGCTACTCGTCTGGTGCAGCTAGTGGAGTGCGCAAGTGCATGAGCTTCGTATGCAGGGCGAAGGAAGCGGGAGGGGGAGCGAGGAGGAACGCGACGAGGTGGAGGAGGGGGAGAGAGACGAGACGGGAGACAAGTCGGGCGATTCCGCGGAGATAACGGAGATTACGCTGCGGCGACTCATCGGGGGGCGAGATGGCATCACAGCGCCACATCACGGCGCCACAAGCAACGCGTCCAAGGCGCCACATCCGCTCGCGATGCGCGTGGTTCGAGTTCGCCTCGCTTGCACGAGTGATCTGCCTAAGGTGTTCAACTTTCAAGTCCTCGACGATTCTACTGCTTCTTGATCTGACGCCATGGACGTGCGTCCCGGCCGAGATAATACTCGGCAAACAACGTCAAAACTGAACTATTTTCAACCCTCTGAGTGATGTGCTTCTCAAACTGGCTACGCGCGTGGACGTGCGCTCGATCAGCCGCGGGGGAAACGAGAGAGTGGGAGAGCTCGGCGAGTCAGGCGCCTGACTTCTCCTGTTCGCGCAGAGAATAACTCGCGTCAGAGGATGCGGTCCAAGAAACTGTAGATGGTCAACCGTGACTTGCAAAAGCGATTGAATCGGCAGCGGAAGGACATCGTGTTCGTGAACCATACCAAGAAAGCGGACTGCAAGAGAGGGAAAGGGATCATCGGCAAGATCGACTTCAGCAGAAAGAGCTGAAAGTCCGTCAGTGTAAACCGCTGCGCATACATTGAGCAGGACTGGCAAATCTAACATGCCAAGGTGAGCTTTTTGTTCACGAGTCAGGCACGGGGGCCAACGTACCAAAGTAGCGAGCAATCTCGACGGTATCAAAGAAAGTGCTCGCCGAAATCCGCGAGGTGAGGTGCTTGGTGCAGCCGCCGTACAGGGCAACGAGCGCAGTCTCCCAAACAATAATAGTGCGCGATGCAACCGCTGCTTCGTCGTCGTGGTCCATCGGCGCCACGGAGAATTCGAGATGGTGCAGGCACTCATCGTTGGGCGGGTGCCAGGCGTCGCCAAGGAGCGCGGCAAAGTAGGGGTCTGGCCAAGCATTACTCGGTGAAGCGCATAGGTTCGGTTGTGCAACACGACGGAGACGTCCGACAGCTCGCTGCTGACCGCCTTCAGTTGGAAGTAGCGGATGAGTGAAGGGTGCTGTTTGGCACACCCGCATTCGGAAGCGAGGGCGTCCTTGAATGACTGCGGACTGTCTTCATTCGTTGCATCAGGTTGGTCCATGTTTAATGCTGCTTCTAGGAGGTGAAGTACAGGAGGTAGCGAGCAACGCGGCCTCGACCTCGTCCACCCCAGCTTGATCGAGGCGAGTGGCCTCGCTTCGCCAATCAGCTGACTCGGCCGCCACACCCGCCTTGTGGCGCAACGCGTCCATGGCCCGAGTGCTGCGACTTGGCCCCAGACGCCGGCCTGGAACAGGAAAACGGCGCTCGCGGGCGATTCCAGGCTTCAAAGCGGGGCGTACCGCGACGCAGACGTGGCAGCCGGCGCGCAGCGCGGCGGCATCGAGGGTCGTCGATAGTGACGTCTCATCGCGCAATCAGGCAAAAAGGTCGCCTGATCGGGACGGGGTTCGAACCCGCGCGGATTTCTCCATTCGAGCTTAAGTCGAACGCCTTAGACCAACTCGGCCACCCGATCAGTGATGTTTTTTGGGCCATTTCTAGACAAAACCCTCACTCGTACAGCCACTGCTCTCAATGACGATCTGCCGCCCAAGGAGCGGTCCAGTTGTCGAGAGCTTGCGGACGAGATCGATGCAATGATCGATGCAATGGAGGTTGAAGATCTTATCAGGTTGGAGTCCGAGATGACGCGCGTGTTTTACGGCGGCCATCGTGTTCCATGCGTCGCGCACCAAGTTCTGCGTCGTGATGAGGACCTGGTCGCTCCAGTCGTCGAGCTGGTCTGGATGCTGGCCCAGGACGACGTCTGCTCGGCGCGAACCGAGGTACTCGATCACGCGCTGCGAGACGACGCAGTTGCGCAGGTCCTGGAGTACGTTGAAGAAGCTCGCGTCGCCCGAATACCGCATCTTCTGGACGAGGATGAAGACTGAGTCGAAAGCGAGCCACAGATCGCGACCAATGTTGGCGTCAGTTCGAGTTCTGCTGCCCACTGGTCGCTCCTTGCGCTTTGACGCGCGTTTCCTCTTCTGCTGCCGAGTCTCGCTGTCGACCTGCATTGGGTCTTTGTCATGAGCCGCGTCCACCTCGCGCTCTGGTTTTGACCGGCTGCTCAGGTGGAACCGTGAGCAAGCGGGCCATGGCGGGCTCGAACAGGAAAAAAATCGCTGGACGCGAAGACGTGCAGCCCGCCAAACGGACGATGGTCGCGGCTCGGGTACGGCGCATCAAAGCGCAAATGCATGGCGGCAAAGGGCTCAGCGCCGACCATGGAGATCTCGTTGATGAGGACAATCTTGACCTGGCTGAACGAGGCCTCGAGCTCGGCCTTGGCATGGTCGCTCATTGGCTTGGTCGCTGAGGCGGTGGTACCGATACCGCACATGGCGTGGATTGTGGAACCGCCGATGGGCGCCTCGGCCACGCCGCTTGGCGCACAGATAGATCTTGAGTCACGAGCTGCTGCCCTTGGCGACGAACATGTCGCGAATTGAGTTGTTGACGCGACTCTTGCCCATGCCCGCCTCGCCGTGGACGAGCATGAGGAGCTACTCGACGTCAGCGTCGCCGCGCTTGATGACATCGAGCGTTGACGCGACGTGCTCAACGAAGCGACGCTGCTCGACGTTGAGCCCGTACAGGTACGGAGCGAGCTGCGCCTGCTGCACGAGCTGCACCTGGACGGCCGGCGGTGCGACAGCGCCGTCTGCTTGAACGAGTCCAGCGCGAGCTGGCTCCGCCGAGTGTTCTGCGGCAATCGACGGACATCCTCGTCGGCCTTCTTGGCCAGGTCGGTATAATTTGACGAGTTGCACGAACCACGCCAGATCTGAGTCGATCTTGAGCAGCTGCTGGCGAAGCTCAAGTGGTAGAGCAGGCACATGCGTGTTCCGAGTTCGAGAGCCGTCCCTACTGTACTGACATGAGAAGCATGGCCGCGTGCTGATCGTTCTCGGAGATGATGGACAAGATCTCGTGCAGGAACGCGTCATTGCCGTGAGCTTCTTTTGCGATGTCGACCGGCGGGCACGATCTCACCATCAGCCTCGTTGTCGCTCCCCATGCCAGTACCGACGGCATGTCAAAGGCCGACCTGCTCGGGCGTCAGCCTATTGCCAGCCTCGGAATCAGCGATCAGCTTGCTGGGCAGTGTGTCCACGGAGTCTGGAAAGTTGTTGATCCACCGATGCAGGTCGCTACCCTGCTGGCGAGTGTTTTTAAAATAATTGAGAGTCTGCGGCCACATGTTGTCGTGAACCAGGACCACCCCGCTGATGACGCGGGACGTCCTGAACAGGATCGTGGAGATCCTGGCCCACGACTCGATGCTGCCGATGTCAAACGACGGGATGACCTCATTGCTGAACAGCGACACAGAAAAGACCTTGGTGGTGCGCATGGTAACGATAAACTTGCCGAGTGCAGGATGGGCGTCGCGGAACTTGCACCATGGCTCGACGTGACGGCCGCGCTTGGCGCGTGGCACGTTGACGTCGTTGCCAGGCACGGATCGATCCGAGTAATTTGTCGCGGCCTTGATGAGCTCCATATGACAGCTCTGAGCGAAGTCGTACAGCGGGAGTGACTCGAGCTCGCTCTGTCGATGTATATAGTGGTCGTTGACTGTGATCTTGTGGATAATCGGGCGGTCCGTAGAAGTCACCTTTTCGCGGGCCGGCTGGCGGCGGCAAGATTCGTGGCCTACCTTACCTCAACAACGACATGACGGGCATGGCGGCGCCTGCCACGGCCGAGACCAACCAACACCGGCGACTTGCCGCCGCGCACCAGCAGTGCCGTCGTCGAGTTCATCGCGGCATCAGCGAGACCAAGCAGAAGAACCTCGCTCGAGTGGATGCCGTGCGCCGCTCATCAATCAACCTCGCCGGTTTCCCGCACCGCAACGTGGCCGAGCCCGACGCCGACGCCGTCGTCCATGTTCGTCTGCGTCACGGTCATGGCGCTACCGGTACTCAAGATCGTGTTCAACGGTAAGCAAGAAGAAGAAGTAGTGTGTGTAAGAAATATATCACTGATGAAAAACATAGATTCGGAAATATAAAGGGAATATCTGCTTGACCATGTCTTCCCGAGTGCGGCAAGCAAGCAAGCAAGCAAGCGAGCGAGCGAGCTAAGGTAAAAAGTGGAGATCCGTCGTTCCGCATGACCAACGTATCACCGGAGAGTAGACCCGGCCTATCACCATCCTTGACGGACAGCCCACTTCGGGACCGAGAGCGTAGGGCTGACTTTGCCCAGGTGCGGACGGACGCCGCCGCCGTCGCCCAGCGTGTGCGAACGGGAGAAGTCGACCGCCGCCCGCCGCCCAGCTCGCCGGATCGCTCCCTGTGTGACTTCTCTCTCTCCCGCGGCTGATCGGATCGCACGTACACGCGCGTGTGTGTGAGACGTAGACCGCCATGGAGCGGTTGTGGTTGGGTTTGGGTTTGGGTTTGGGTTTGGGACTGGAGACCCAATAAGTCTCGAGTGGGTAAGTTTTCGAGCCGCACGACAACCTGGCCGTCGGCCGCGGTCACGGTCGTCACAGCAGTAGAGACACCGTGGATCAAGGAAACCTCGTGCACAGCCGTTAACGGACGAGGCAGCCCAGGAGCGAAAAAGGCCGCCGCCCAGGCCCGAATTCGACCAATGGGACGAGCTTGGTTCGAGAAGTCCTTGGGCGGAGACCAGTACTCGCGAAGGGCGGCGAGGACTTCGAGCTACATCGGATTGCGGTGGTCGAATTCGCCAGTCTCAGAGTCAGGATAGACTCTGAAGACGCAGGTTTCGTCCCGGTCAAGCATCGCGACGTGGCGAGCGTCATCGTCTTGATTCGCATCGACGGGAACGACTCGAAGCGGAAGCCGCGAGCGGAACGGCTGCCAAGCGCTGTAGGACCAGAACACCCACTGGTGGATGTAGCCAATCGTCGCGTTCCTCGACTTCCGACGAATTTGAAGCTCAAGGTCAGGGCGTCGAGGCACGCCGGTAAAGCCAACCGATCGCGCAAGCGCGTGAAGAATCGCGAGACTTTGGTTGCTGAGAGATAATCTTTCAGTAAAGCATGCGTCATCGCGGGCAAAGGGATCTCGAACCCGTTTGGAGTCGACACGTAGCGCGCAACGACGGTACCCTCGGACGCGTTCCAGTCGTTGTTGGGTGCGATGAGGTTGAGAGCCGGGTACTCCTCGAGGGTGAGCAGGAACTCGCGACTCCAAGCGGCGATCCGGTCCGTTTCAGTGCGTTTCGCTTTGCGGTCGCGGCGACTATTGTCATTAAAGTAGATCTTGGCGAGAAGGGCCGCAAAAAGCGACTTGAGCTGCGGATTACTCCATGATTTGAGAAGGTCGAACGCGGGCGTGTTCTTGAGGCGCTTGTTGCACACAAAGACCTTGTCAGCGCCAAGCGTCGCGCGCACGAGTTGATAGCCACGAAAGCCACCGTTCCCGTCGGGAATCGGACCCATGTACTTCAACATGTGGCTCGATCGCATCGGTCGCGGGTCGACGGCTGACGCGGGCCGTATTCGCGGCCACGGTGGTCCAGTCGAACAGTTGCACCAAGTGGGTATTTTCCATTTGATTCATGGTGCGTGTTATTCCGGCTCGATCGAGGGAGCAGTGTTGACGAGCGCGGCGAGAAGGCGGTGGGAGCAGGCGGCAAGCCTCGCTGCGCAGAGCGCCAGCTGGCACGTGAACTTCGCGTCGTTCACTTCACGTGACGCGATCAACGCATGCCGGCGACCTCGTCGCGGGCCCGTCCTGGGGCGCGCAAGAAATAGACAACCGCTATATCTTGGAAGCTTGTATGTCACGAAGGAGAAAAATATTGCTGATCCAAAGCTGAGGGTTTGTCATACAGCGGGCACGGATCGGGCGCTCCGAAACCTGCCGTCGTCGCGACGAACAACACGACGCCACGACGGTCAAGTCGTTGGTGTGAGACTAAAACTCCAAGTAAGGTCGAAAAGACAGCTTGTGCGCGGAAACGATGTATTGGGAGGGGTGGGCGACGGAGAACCGCGCCAAGCATGCGATCATGGCAGCGGCTCCTCCGAGTCGCTTAGGCGCGATAAGTGCAGGTAAGCGTCGGTGCCGTACCCCTCCATAGACAAAATTCTGAGCGCGCCTCCCCAGTACATCGCGTACAAGCGACTCAGCGGCAATCCGTAGCCGTAGCCGGCGAGCGGGGCCTTGAAGTCGGATGCCGGGGCGGCGGGCGAGTCCGAGGACGTGGTCTGCGCGGGCGCGGCGGTCGTGTAGAGGTAGGTCCAGATGAGCGGCACGCCCGAGCGCGGGATGCCGCCGCCCTCGTCGCTGACCTTGATGGTGATGTCCTCGCGGCCCTCGGCGACCACGATCTTGATGGGCGGGTAGTGGTCGGCGTCGGGCCCGTACCGCTCGACCACGGCGCGCAGGCTGTTCTTGAGCAGCTCGAACAGCATGTGGTGCAGGTGGCTCGGCACGTACATGAAGTGCAGGTCCTCGGGGCAGTACAGCTGCACGTGCGGCGCCG